GTTCTGTTTGTTGCTGTTTTCTCAACATCTGAGTCACAACACGACTGTATGTGTGCTGAGCATAGATAAGTGTGTTCATGATGATGGTGCTGAGGGTCCGATGGTGTCAGTCCACTGTGAGTTAAGTAAACTATTGCACACCTAGAGGTGCTGATCAGGCAAACTGATACATTCAGCAGCATCAGCACCATTGTCATATCACAATGCTCTGCACACATGGATCGATTTGTGTAAAATAATCAGTTGATCAATGTCAAACTAAACATGTAATTCAAGGAAGTAGAGGTTTAATATTAGTTAATGTAGTGTTCTTTCACACTTGTTTGTCATTTTTAAAAATAGTTGTTTTAAAAGCCTGAAAATTATATTTAAAAAACAGGACCTTGTTTGACTAGCAGCTATTTGCCTACCCTGGTCAAAGACTTTCTCTTTTGTCTGTGCTCCATGATTTGTGTCATGACCGATAAGGTGCTATTGATGATTATTTGACAGAACATGACTTCAAAAGGACCAGATTATTCATTTAATATTTGAAAAGGTTTGCTCAGTGATGCATTCATTTAGTCAAGTGTTTGTTTTTCGCAACACTCAGAAGAAATAGCAGATGTTTGCCATTTTTCTCATTTTTATTTCTTTCCTAACACACAAAAATTAAATGGTAGTTCTTTATCTTGTACTATTGCTAGTATTAGTAAGAATCTGTTTTAAACCAAGATGGCCAAAGGAACCCTTGTTATTGCTTTACTGGCTGAGGTAAACTTGCCAGTTTCCAGAGGCCTGGAGCAGATCCTGGCAGCAGTCAGCATCTTGAGAAGGATTAATGCAGCTGAGATGATATTTTTAGGTTTTACTCCAGAGTCCTGAGCAGCACTTTCTCTGTGGTTATATATATCCTGGAGAACATGCGTAACAGACCTCAATCTGGGGTGTTCTCTGACGCTGTGGAACAATTTTAAACCTTGAGACTTTGAATAAGGACAGAAACAGATTCTTAAAAGACATTTCTTTAATTTTTTTTCTTTTTCAAATTGAATCAAGATTTGTCAATGTATCAGAATTGAATCAAATGTTTTTACATTTTTATCTCATATTTACAAGTGCAGGATCATACATTTAAATCAACGTAACTTGTAAAAACTTAACTTTGCCCAAATGTCATCTTAAAAACACATTAACATCCTGAGACAATGAAGAAAAAACATTTTTACACCTATCCCACATCTTAAAATGCTCCTCAATTACCAAAACTTGAGCATCTTTTTCTAGCATGTGGCTAGTTTAAATCATTTACATGTACCCCTGCTAAGAACCTTTCACCCTGAGTCATCACAGTGTTTCAGGATAATGGAAATAAAACTCCTGGTACAGGAATTTATTGCCCAACTCGTCTAAACTGTCCCCCAACCTACGCAGCAGTGAGCTGCTATTTCTGCACATCTTCCCAGGGCTTAAAGAGATATTTTCACCATTTTGACGTAGAGTTCCGTAGAAACATTAAGAGCTATTAATATATTGGTTCTTGGAAATATTAAACAGCTTCACTTTGGAAAAACAGAGTTTAAATCTGACAAGTTGGATGAGCTCACAGCTCGTATGTAAGCAGCTGAGACCAAAGTGGACTGCTTCCATCTTCAAACATGTCCATTTTCTAAAGTTTTACAGCTGTTCATGTGAACATTATCTCATAAATCTTCCATGAACAGAGAGTTTTGTGGTCACTTGCAAGTGCTAATAGCTGTAGCAGCTGCTAGCTGCAGCTACAGCTCTAACAGCGTGCAGTCACTTCCAATAAGTACAATATTAATATTATTAATAATATTTCTGCTGAACAATCCATGGATGGAAAAACAAACAGTGATACTAAGGATTAAAGAAAATCTTTTGCATGAGATTTTAAAGTTTGGTGCAGTTTTAAAGACAGCCAAAGCTACTTTGGACGTAGGTCCACTTGGACAAGCTGTTATTAGCTTGTCAAAACAGTCAGACTGGATCAACTTCAAATCCCCAGTTCCAATATTCAAACAACTTCAATGTGAAAAATGTCATAGCAGTTCATGAAGTTCCTGCCAGAAGTGCCCCAGGCTGCACCAAAAGTGCTATAGCTAGTTGCTGTTGCTGCTGTTCACTCTTGCAAATTACTACAAATTTTACCTAAAGAGCTGTGTATTGAAATAAAGATGCAAAGGTTCATGAAAGGTTCACCAAACGGCAGTTCAGATTATCCACCCTTTTTGGAGTCCTTGGAGGGGGTACTGGAGAGTGCACCTCCTGGGGACTCCCTTGTTCTGCTGGGGGACTTCAACGCTCACGTGGGCAATGACAGTGAGACCTGGAGGAGTGTGGTTGGGAGGAATGGCCCCTCCGATCTGAACCCGAGTGGTGTTCTGTTGTTGGACTTCTGTGCTCGTCATGGATTGTCCACAACAAACATCATGTTCAAGCATAAGGGTGTCCATTTGTGCTCTTGACACCAGGACACCCTAGGCCGCAGTTCAATGATCGACTTTGTTGTCGTCTCATCTGATCTGCGGCCGCATGTCTTGGACACTCGGGTGAAGAGAGGGGTGGAGCTGTCCACTGACCACTACCTGGTGGTGAGTTGTCTTCGATGGTGGGGCAGGATGCCGGTCAGACCTGGCAAGCCCAAAAGAAATTGTGAGGGTTTGCTGGAAACGTTTGGCAGAGTCTCCTGTGAGACAGAGCTTTAACTCCCACCTCCAGGAGAACTTCAAACATGTTCAGGGGGAAGTAGGGGACATTGAGTCCGAGTGGGCCATGTTCCGTGCCTCTATTGTCGAGGCAGCTTACCGGAGCTACGGCCGCAAGGTTGCCAGTGCCTGTCGCGGCAGCAACCCTCGAACCCAGTGGTAGACACCGGTGGTGAGGGATGCTGTCAGGCTGAAGGAGTCCTATCGGGCCTTTTTGGCCTGTGGAACCCCGGAAGCAGCTGATGGGTACCAAGTGACATGCGGCTCGGGTGGTCGCTGAGGCACAAACTCGGGCATGGGAGGAGTTCGGAGAGGCCATGAAGAATGAGCTGCTGCTTCTCCACGTCGAGAGGAGCCAGTTGAGGTGGCTCGGGCATCTGGTTAGGATGCCTCCTGGACGCCTCCTTGGTGAGGTGTTCCGGACACGTCCCACTGGGAGGAGGCCCAGAGGAAGACCCAGGACATGCTGGAGGGACTATGTTTCTCGGCTGGCCTGGGAACGCTTCGGGATTCCCCCGGAGGAGCTGGACCAAGTGGCTGGGGAGAGGGAAGTCTGGGCCTCCCTACTTAAACTGCTACCCCCGTGACCCGCCTCCAGATAAGCGGAAGAAAATGGATGGATGGATGGAGGTTCATAAAATAACATTTTCATGAAGTTTTGAGATCAAGGCTGTTTTTAAATAGTAGTCTAGTTTGATTCTGGCTGCATTCAGACTATCAAACAGAAAAGAAATCCAGACGTAATGTCATGTCTTTGTCTCTTGATGAAAACTGAAGCCATGAGATTCAATTTTACAGGTGCTGCCATGATCAACTTTTGAAACCATAGTCTAGGGCATTACGTCCACAGCACACAGTCATGAAAAAATTAATTACAGCTAAGCATATTAGATAAATGAATATTTGAACATACAACAAGGCAAGAACTGCAGTAATCAACGCGTCAACCCCTAGGAAAAATTATCTGAAGTGAGTTTTATTATTTTACCAGTGCCCCATTTGATTATGAGGAGGGGGTGGGGCTTAAACCTGGCCCTGGAGTCAGGTAGAGAAGCTGGTCCGGTTCTGATTAATTTCGGAGGGGTTCCCATCAGATGTCTAGATTTCTTTTGTGGTTGACTATGGCGGCACGGTGGCTCAGTTGGTAGAGCTGTTGCTTCTCAGTGAGAAGGTCACCAGTTCAAATCCCAGCCCAGGATCTTTCTGGGTGGGGTTTGCATGTTCTCTCTGTGCATGCATGGATTTTCTCCGCGTGAGAGAGTGAATTGTTTTTTGTCTTGGTTGTCTCTATGTGTCCCTGTAATGGACTGGAGACCTGTCCAGGGCATCCCCTGCCTCTTGCACAGTGACTGCTGGACATGGGCACCAGTGAGCTTCTGCGACTCGTAAAAGGAAAAAGCGGGTAAAAGACAATGGATGGTTTAGACTAGCTCTTAGCTTGTGGTCCTGTGAATGAAATTTATTTTTTATTGAACTAAATTTAGGTTGTTCAAGAAATGACTCTTTAGTAATTGTTCTTAACTGTCCAACAAAACCCCACATTAAAATGATCAAAATATCCCTTTAGGTCATTTGCCTCTGTTTTGAGCCTCAAAGCAATCTACAAAGGGGAAACTCGGAGGGGAAGGGTTATTGTAAATGTTTTGTTTCGTCTTACAAAATTTTAAAAGACTAGCACAATTTATTTTTCTGCATAGATAGACATTTCTTTGTGAACAGTACAAACAATTGCTTTCATGTGTCAGTAAAGGTAACGGGGTCAGGCAAAAAGACCACCCACTGTTGTAAATGTGATCATTCATAATCCCAAGGTTTAGGATCACATTATGTGCCAAGTGTCATTTAAAAGCACTTTTCAACAAAGAAACAGCGTGGCTTTGTGGTGGTATCAATTAATTACATAAAATGCAAGAAAATTCCTAATTTTATGAGCACAACAGATTTTGAAGTCTAGAAAATAAATCCAGTTTTCAAATGCACGTTTTTTCCGTGTTTGAACAATTCTAAATTTAACAACAATGACTAAACAATAATCAAGCAAACCCTGATTAGTTGTTTCTGACAGCTTTGTCATTCTATTAAGCTGTATTTCTGGCACACAGCATCCGTCTCTAACTCTAGAATCATCAATGAAAAGCTTACTGCTAGCATTCATGGTAAAGGTAGCTACAAAATTAAATACGCATGTCTTGAGAAAAGCTGTGAACCAGGAACAATGTGTAAAATACATAATCAGACTTTTTATATTTTACAGAACCTCACCTCACAAGCAGCTGATCTCTAAACCGTGAGCATCCTTACAAAGGAGAGATGGTACGTCTGTTCCAAAAACGTCGCTTGTGCTCGCATCTCCTGAAACATGAACTTTATTTTGTACATAAATGTCATTGCGCTTGAGACAAAGAAAACAAATAATTGAGTTTGATTAGGTATTACATGGTGAACTTGTGCCAGATCACAGCATTATACACGTGCCAGACTTCTTATCGTCATCCATACCCCCTTCTTTCCTGTTGGGGTCATTGAGCTCATCAAACAGTCCTGTATCAATCATCTCTTGCTGCCATTGGATTGGCACAGCTCCAGTGTTGAACTCCTTAAAGAATTTATTGTCCTTTTCATCAAACGTGATGCCCTTGACATCTGAGAACTCTGCAATGTCACCAGTGTCCTTGGCGTAGACCACATTGGGTTTGGGGACCCAGGGAGGATCCACAAGCCCTGCCTCTAGACGAGGAAAGTTGATGTTCTTAAACCAAGCATGCTTCCTCGGATCCTCCATGTTGTTCCTGTTAAAAACATTCAAATATATGTTTTAAACCTTGCCCACACAGAAACACAGTTCCCCCCCCCCCCCCCGGTCCCCAAAAAAACACAATATTTTTATTTGTTGTTTCTGAAAATGTCCTTGATAAGACGATCGTTTTAAGAACCGTTTTCATTCGCACAGAAACACCAAAAATGACCCAAAACAACCAAAAATGCTTCAGTAACTAATCCAGGCCTATGTGTGGTGCTGTGATGCTGCCGTGAAAATTTTGCACACTAAAAACAGGACACAAGTCCTGCAGCAAACACAAAGCTTACATACATAGTGCAAAATGCAAACAGAACAGAAGAGGACGCCCTTGGATCGTAAAAAAGGTCAGAGATAAATCTATGACCCCATTGTTTTCCAAAGGTTGCACATTGGCTGTCTACACAAAGCACAAGAGTAGTGTTTTAAGATTTTTTCATTGTGGACTGTCAAAAAAAAAAAAAAAAAAAAAAAAAAAAAATTGGGGCTTTTAAAAATGCAATTTCTGTGTGGACAAGGCAAGACTGAAACAATTAAAAAACTTATGTATTCACAAATGCTGTTCCCATGTGGACGAAATGTCTAAATATGAGATTCAAATTGGCAAAAAGGACACTCGCCTCCACCTAACTGGTGGAACATTAGGTCAAACTGAACATCTATCACATGAAACCGATTCCTCCTCACTTATAAATCACAGTCTACAGCAACACAAATCAAACAGTGTAAGCGCCAAATAAACTTACTTTATGCCCAGGCGCTCGTCCATTTTTTTCTTGAGGAACTGTTGGATGATATCCTTGGTGGTATCATCGAAGCACTTGTGTTCCCACTTTGGTTCTTCGTTGAGAATCCGGCGCTGCACTTCTTCTTTCTCCACCTTCTCCTTTTTGTTCTCAGGTCCTTTGAACGGTGTGTATCCAGCCACCATCTCATAGATACTGCAGCCCAAGGCCCACCAGTCCACTGATGTCCGGTATGGTGTTTTGGACAGGAGCTCAGGGGCCATGTATGCTCCTGTACCAGCCTGAACAAAGGAGATGAAGAGTAAGAGACTTGAAAAAATACAGAATTGAGATGTCTAAATGCAAACAAACCTGAAAAACCATTAAGTTTGAATGAAAAACCTGTTATTGTCAGTTTCTCTTGAGAAAAATCGTCTGTTAACAATGTTCAGATTTACTAGAGTAGAAAATGTCACAGTGTCCCAGATTTATCTTGTTAGGAGTCAGAATGTCTGCTGAAGTCACAAAAACAAATGCACCTGTGTAGACTGTGTGTGTGTAGACAATGTTGGGTTCACTGTATTAGACTGATGTCAGAAAAATGTATGAAAAAACACAAGTCTAGGTATTTCTGCTGATACAGGATGGGGGCTCCAATTGAAAAACAGCCCCACCATGTCAAACTCAATAATAATCAAATGTTCCTGTATACAATAAATCTTTCAATAAGTTGTCAATCTTTGAGTCCTTTGTTTAATCAAAAAGTAAAAATACTACAATGTAATCAATTGGCTGTGGTGAAGGGACATGAATAAATCTGCTAATTAAAGTATTTATTTTTATAGTTAAAGAAGGTAATCACACTATCAAAAATATGGGTTATCTTTAAATGGTAAATGGACTGTACTTATATAGCACTTTTCTATCTTATTGAGATACTCAAAGCACTTTACAACACAATCTGTGCCTCATTTACCCATTAATACAGCACTCTACTACACATATCTCTACAAAGAATAATCAGAGCTTTATCACATTCATACACCGATGTGACACACACGAGAGGCAATGAGGGGTTCAGTGTCTTGCCCAGGGACACACTGGCATGTGACTGCTGGTGGGATTGAACCCCCAACTCTTGCATTGGAGGATGACTGCTCTAACCACTCAGCCACAGCCGCCCCTTTAACTGGACACTGATCTTTGTAAAACCTCCCTCTTGAACAAAGCGGAAAACTGAAAAGCATCTTTTAAATTCTGATGCATGCTCAATAATCCAGGTAGAAAAATCTAACAAAGTCAGGTCAGCTGTCCCCTCGTACAATGCTGTTACTGCTAGTATCACTCAGCCCTCTGTGAATAGCAAGCAGCCATCAGGGCACTAACGGCCAATCGTTAGGCTGATGGTCCTTCTTAGTGTTGGATGTCACCAGCAAACTGGTTGATTCTCTATGAGAAGGTGCTATTTATAAGACTGAGTTTGTTGCAGCTCCTCAGTCTGAAGAAGTCTTTTGGATAAAAGACAAAACGTTTCAACAAGAAGAATCCATCCAGATGACCTGACTGAACTTTGTTAGATCTTTTAATTACCACTTTCACTTTTACCTCTGCTTGTACTTTCCTGTGCCCCCCATCCCCCCCAACACGTTTTTTCTCTCCCTTTCCCCTGAGTGACCCCACCAACAACCTTAAACTAGGATCCTAATCCTAATGCTAAGCCTACTAGCTGTCAAGAGTTGTGTATGTCTGCACACTGACTGTCTCTTATATAAGCTTGGGCCATCTCTGGATGCTGTGACCACCAGCAGAAATACATCCAAACACATTTATGACAACCACTTCTCAAGTGAGGAAATGTATTTATTAATTAATTTTTGCAGCAGTTTAAAGAAAAATCAGCTGCAAAGTCGTTTAAGTGTCACAGCCAATGTTTACTTCAAGCTCCAAGAATTCCAATTGATCTGAAACTTTGTGTGATCAACCCACAGTTAAAGACACAGAGTTTAATGTCACATCACTGCTTTGTATTAGCTCCTCCACTGATGGACAGCATCCAGCCTCTCCAGCCACGTATAATCATCAATATTAATGATGACTTCACAATTTCCGCTCTTAACTCTTCACTGTGGCTGATTGGGATTAATGAACCCATTTAGCACATTGATTTCTTTAACAATCTGTCAAACTGTCCGGACCACACGTTTAAAGTCTGAGATGATAGAACACAACTCCAAGCATCAATCATCAATGAGAAAATTGTTTGAAAACGATCACGTCTACATGTGTGCAATGTAAGTTTCACCTGAGTCTGTCGATCTAATCAGGGACAGACTTGTGTAATACCCCATAAGAGGATCATGGGACCAAGGCCAGCCTGACCTGTAACAGTTTAGCCCAGTCACTTTGGCTGGTTGAAGAATATCGCAGTGCTGATAATGAGCTTAGTGGACTTTCAGAGCTGAGAGCTTACTCTTTGCTTCAGCAAGTAAGACCTAAAGGCAACCTGCTGCAAACGTCTTTACCTTTGTGTCATTATGTGAAACAAGGTGCGCATCAAACCGTTCTGAGATTCTCCTATCAGTAAATAATTAGGATGCGGTCCGTAAAAGGTACATCTTTTGTCAGATTTAGATGATTCTAGATTCATATTAGAAGTTGGAATCTTATTCTACCAATCCTTTCTTTTCACGTTCGTCAGGTCCAACACAGCAGACTGAATGTTAGCCATCGATGTGCCTTAAAGAGAAACTTGGTGTCTTTTAGCAGCTGTTGCTTTAGCAAGCGTCCTCTTTCTCTAACATAGGCTTGAGACAAGATGGAGACCAACCTGACTGCAATAGGATCAAATGAGTTATATAATGGATTCAAAGAGTGCAAAGATCTTTAAACAAACCTATAATCCCTGTCCGGATTTATAATGAACACAGAGGTGATAGCACGTGTGCAATCACCCAACAACTACTGGGTTATTTGTTTATCTTAAGGTAATAAACTAAAATGAAGGACTTGTAAAAATCAGCCACACATATTAATTTCAAGTGAGGCCTTTTTTTATATATATATGGAACAAATAAGATTTTATCTCATGATTTAAAATCTGTTGGACAAACCCGACACTCTTCATGAGTTTCCCACACTTTTTCCATGTGTCCATCAACTCACCATTTGGGTGACGGTCTTCCCTGGAGTGATCTGTATGGCCAGACCCAGATCTGAAAGTCGGCACTGGCCCTGGCTATCCAGCAACACATTCTCGGGTTTCATGTCACGATATATAATATCCATGGCGTGCAGATGCTGGAGGCCGGTGGCAATCTGCGCCGTGTAGTGAACGATGCGTTTCATCTCGATTCCTTTGTTCACGCCTTTACCATCGTAGCCCATGTTGTAAATATGGTACTTGAGGTCTCCCCCATTCATCAAGGTCATGACAAGGCACAAGTGGGACTTGGTGTCAAAAGCATAGGCCAAGTTGACCAGGAACAAGCTGTTAACTTTCTCCAAGATCTGCTTCTCCAACAAGGCCATCTTCTCACCACCCTTCTTCTTCAGCCGCTTTTTACACAACTTCTTACAGGCGTACATCTGGCCTGTGTTCTTCACCTGCACTGCACAAACCTGCAGAAAAAACAAAACAAATTACTTTGTAAATACATGGACTTCCATATCACAGATGGTCTCAGATCTCCTTCAGATCTCCTTCAGATCCCTGGATGTGTCTTCTGGTGTCACGTCAACGGTCCTAATGAACCATAGCAACTATGTCACTGCACTGATAACACTATTACCAGTATTAATCTAATAAATTTAATAAGTGGTTGTTGAACAGAATCACTGGTAGAATTGATGCAAAGAAGAAGTAAACTGATCATGACCATAACCAGCTGTTCCAACTGGGATCTATGTTCAGATAGATCCCAGTCTCTGTCACATTGTTAACGAAGCCTTATCGTGCTTTCTTCACCAGTATGGACAGATTCCCACAGAAGAAAGAGGTGTACAAGCAACAGCAACTAATCTTACTTTTAATGAATAAAAAGCTCTATATTTTTACAGGCAAGCTGTTGGCTAAATGTTTCATTTAAACGATCCCTATAGAGATCCCTCAGGGCTTACTTGTAGGGCATCTGCGTTTGACCATTATGCTAACAAGCAACACAAGAAGGTCAAAACATTTGTTTTTACTGCAGATTCTAACTTCCCCTTGTATGCCACATTCATGTCCTGTGTGTTTATGCATGTTTGTTTGTCTGTCTGTTAGTAAAATATCTCAACAGCAACTGAATAGATTTCAATGACTCTCTCATTATAATTACATCTACAAGTGTTCAGCTTTAGGAGCCAACCAGTATCAAGACGACTACCACAACAAAATAGCCAACGCAACAAATTGCTCAAACTTGAATATGTTTACAGATATTAAGCTAAACTTTGATGTGGTAGTAGCTGAGAGCCATTCCTGAAACATACTCTGAGCACCAACAGTTAATATCTTGGGCATCCAAGGCTTTGGATAATATGCATTCCTTCAGTGAATGCCAATTTAATTAATTCTCCGTTGTATGTTCAGTTCTCTGATAATTCCACATTAAAATATGTACTTTGGCACATGATGAGGTAAATATAATTTCTCATAATTAAATATATCCACATCTCTGTCCTCAAAATGTTTTACTAGGAATGTAATTTTGCCAAAATGACTTTAGAAGACATAATTATTGCTACGATATCTGAAGAGACAGAGTCAGGGTTAAAGGCTTATTTTCAGCAACATCCGTTTGGTTTCTGTGTGCGTGCTTACCTCTCCAAAGCCTCCTTTCCCCAGAGTTCTGAACTCGTAGAAGTATTTTTCGGTGATGGGCTGTTTCTCGTACTCTTTCCATTGCAGGAACTTGTCAAAGAACAGGCTACTCTGGTAGTCTGTAAACGGTTTGCCCTTCAAAAATTCTCTTACACCTTCCTGGACTTTGTTTTTCATCACTTCCTCAAAGTTGGCATCTGTGACAGACTTGCATTTTTCAGCAGCTTCCCCGGTAAGAAAAGTAAGGAAGGACTTTGAGTCAGCTTTGCAGTACTTGTTCATGATGTTTTGCCGAGCCTTGTCTTTGTTTGCACTTTCAGCCAGATCCCAGTCTTGCAACTCATCCAGGAACTCAGCAGCAAGCATAAACTCTGGGTTACTTGACAAGAATTCACGGAATAACTTTTTCCCTATTGGCTGCCTTTCACAAAGCAATGAAAAGTCCTTTTCAATGGAGCCTCTGAGGGAAACACATTGATCCGCTTTAGGGAGAGCCAAACTGCGGCGACGCTTTTTCATCTCCTTGTCGTCCCCACTTTGGGCTTTCAGGTAGGCCGTGTTGGCCACCAGGTTATCCAAACCTCCCATGTCACACATCTTGGCGACTGTATCTGGTCTGTCCCCCCTACGTGCCTGGGTTCGTTAGGAGCTTCCTAAGGATGCCCACTCACCTTCAGAATCAGTGGGTTGAAGAGTGCGAGCTCCGTCACGCAGCCTACCTGCAAACCTAAGACACACCCAGTAATTACTCATTTAGAATTAAATACCAGGGAAGGATTTTTGGCTTAAGGATCTTTGTGTAGTCTATTCAAGGATGCTGTGCACGGAAAGGGAATCGTAAGCGGGCTCTGTCGTAAGAGGCTTTGAGGCCATCTATATTTATTTATGATCTTCAGATGTCTAACTGGTCAGCTGGGTTCAACTGTGAGGACCAGGTTATGAGTACAAATCAAAGAATACGAGACTAGAATCATTACACAACTAAAGCGTTTCTGAAAAAACTTTTGAAAAAATTCAACGCAGCTGCTGCACAAAGATCCATCAACTTTCTTCTCTACAGTGTTTAACACTTTTTGTAATGATCTAAGCTGACGAAACGTTGATATATTGATGTAAAAACTGTAGATGTGTAAAAGTATACTTACTGCCAGAAGGTCATTAGAGTCACCATGGTAACCATGCATTTTGACTGTCACTGCCTGATAACACGTTAAAAGACAGAAGCACAACAAAAATCAAGCCACAATGTTTATGTTAGAGGCATAACCAGATAAAAAGCCTCTTATCAGATAGAATGTGAGTCAGTGAGAGTTTGGGTGAGCACTGGAATATGGGGGGAGTCAAAAGAAAACCACAAGTCCTACAGCAGTGAGAGATGTTTGGCTAATGAAAATTAAAAAATGCCTAAATAAACTATAAAAGACATGATGATTGTTACCATAGGAAAAGTTTGAATGAAACATTTTTGTAAAGTTTAAATAGATTGTGTGACAAGATGAACATTTTGGGGTAAGTTTAAAAAAAGTCAACTGAATTATTTTTTTCAAAAATCACAAAACATAAACAATAATTGTGTAGAAAATGTGAAAGACGATCAATCAGTTTGATTTGTGCAGTCGTAAAATCAAACTTTTTGTGACCCATTTAAACTTTAAATTATCTTTCTACTCTGAGGTAAAGCTCCAAAGATGACTTGGTTTTGAAAAAGTTTTCACAGTTTTTGTAAATTTTGTGTGTTGCTATCAAACATCATGAAACACATTAGACTCGTTCGAGTTGCACGTTTTGAAGTAATTTTTTTTCAAAGGTGCGGGAGGAGATGTGAATCAAAAATTGTGACCCAAATGAAAAAAAAGACATGAATATATGACATATGAAACAAAATATGAAAATTAAAAAGTAGTAAAGTGGGAGCTTCTGTGATCATGCCTCAGCACCAGTAATTAAAAGTAAAAGTTGTGGTTTGGTGAAAACTTCGATCATTCTCCATCCATCCATCCATCCATCCATCCATCCATCCATTATCTTTTACCAGCTTCTTCCATTTTTGGGTCACGGGGGTCGCCAGTGCCCATGTTCGGCGATCACTGTGTGAGGGGCGGGGTACACCCTGGACAGGTCTCCAGTCCATCACAGGGACACATAGAGACAAACGAGACAAACAACCATTCACTCTCTCACCTAGAGACAATTTAGAGTTACCAATCAGTTTAACATGCATGTTTTTGGTCTGTGGAAGGAAACCGGAGTACCTGGAGAAAACCCACGTATGCACGGAGAGAACATACAAACACCACCCAGAAAAGCCTGCGGACCGGGATTTGAACCGAGGACCTGCTCGCTGAGAGGCAGCCAGTTGCGCCACCGTGCTGCCTCCTGTCATTCTCAGGTTATCAAATAAAAGCATGATGCGCAAGACAAACATTTGCAATCAAAGTGCATTTAAATGTTCAGCAGAAAACACAAATATAACAACAGTAATGTAGGTATCACTTTAGAACAAGTATTTTATCTATTCTCGTGTTCTCTTACTTCCTGTCTATTCCTATTCTGTCTGTTTACCCCACACTTCCTCACCCACTCTCACTTCTCTCCCTCGTTAGTGGCCACCAGGTCTGCTCCATGTGCAATTAGTGCATTTATTTTACCATAAAGTAGTCTATGTTCAATATAAACAACACTAGAGTTAACAGTGTGCAAATATTTGTTTAAATTTGAGCAATTTAAAGTTTGTACTTTTGTTATCACCTGCTGTCAAAGGCAAATACAGATGACATTTTTACCCATGTCAGTGTGTTTACTGTTTATCGCTGTGTCACCATAATATCTAATGACCACAGCTAATTAACTTTACAAAAACAAATTGCTATAACTCAGTCAATGCGACACGGAACTAAAATTTGGTGTGGTGGTAGCCTAGAGTCATCCTCAGACTGTGCAAGACATTTAAAACTTTGCCATTAACTAAATGGAGTCAACTCTGTTAAAGTATATTGTGATAAGCAAAAAAAGTCCATGCTCAATAATCCAGGTATACAATCCAACATTTTTCAGTCAGGTCATCTGGACAGTTTCTTTTTATTGTGCTGAAACGTTTCACCTTCCATCCGGAAGGCTTCATCAGTCAAGGAAACACACAACACAAAACTGATTCTTCCCCCAAACAGCTTACTCCAAAGTGGAACAAACCAGTTGTGTTGGTGCTAAGATGGTCTCTTTGGCACGGCCCCTCCTCCGATGCCGGCCCTCTTCCTTGTTGACAGTCATGTCAAACTGGTTCAAAACCAAAAAATGTCCATGCTCAATAATCCAGGTATACAATCCAACAATTTTCAGTCAGGTCATCTGGACAGTGATAAATTTTAATAAAACATGAAGATAAATATTGGCTGTACTTTTTATAATTGATTAAAGGTGCAGATGGTGTCGTTTGAAAGAGTTAACTCCCATTAGTTAATTAGATGTGTTGACATGCAATTCTGAAATATGGGTACACACTCAATGTGAACAAGTCCTCTGCAGAATCTGGCAGACCCACATTTGACTGGCCGTAGTCCGTATGTAGTGGAACTGGGCAAAACTCTGTTGGGGCTCCACTCGCAGGGTATCATATTCCTTCCATCCTCAGTGTATACCACTTTCTCTAAATGGATTTGGTTATGTAAAGAAAACCTGGACAGATTTGTAACATGTTTGGTCATGAAGACCCAAAGATAGACTGATGACAAGGACTCAAATGTAGAAAAGATGTGTTTTTATTTAAGAAGGGAATTGTTGCTGAAAGGAAACCAAGGTAGAGGTGAGTACTGGCAGGATTTGTGGATCAATGATTTGTAATCTTTCTTAGTTGTACAACTCTTACTGTAATTTGCTTGTTTTCAGGTGGTGAAAGGAAAGATCCAGTGGTTCCTAGGAGTAGCAGCTCGTTTGATCCAAAAGGTAAGTAGTGTTGGAGAGACAGGGAGATGGTGGTATGAAGTTCATCCAGGCTGATATTTGGTTTGCAGGAGCAGAGATGACTGGTGAGATCACAGGAGGCAGAGGACTTGGCAGGACTTGCATGAGCAAGGCTTACAAACACAAGGAGCAAATTCACAAGGTTAGTTTTCTCAGGAAGAAATATATTTACTGGCTGTCAATTAATTTACCATAAGATATTTTAATGTTCCAGCATCGGATGATTAACCGCCAAGTCCTTATTGTAGAAACAGGGTAGTTGACGGGATCAGGTGCAGGTGTGGTGGCTTGAATGGATCATTGTCAGCTGTTGGGAAAGTTTGTTCATTGTTTGTTGTTAATTGATGATATAATTTGGTAAAAAAAAAATAAAACAACACAGTCCATCCATTCTTTATCTACCACAGGCAAAGGCATAGGCTTCCCAGACATCTCTTTTCTACAGCCACCTCTTCCAGAAGGATTCCAAGGAGTTCCCAAAGAGACTCAATGTTCATTTTTGTCTTTAACCTTTATTTAATCAGGCAAATTCCATTGAGATCACAGATCTCTTTTGCATAGGAGGCCTGGACCTGAAGGCAGCCTCCAGGTTTTTGGACTGTGGGAGGAAACCGAAGTACCCAGAGAAAACCCACACAAACACATGAAGAACATGTAAACTCCACACAGAAAGATACCAAACCCAACCCAGGGATTGATCCCAAGACCTTCTTGCTGTGAGGCAACAGCATTAATCACTAAGCTGCTGTGCTGCCACAGTGCAGGTCTAGCCCACTTTTAATTTTTTTGCTCAAATGTGGCTTATTTGGTGTAGGCGTTCACAGTCTAATTTAAATTTGACCACCATCAAATTCCAGTCTAAACCCTCGGGTCCTGAAAGGACCTGCATTCGCAGAAAAAGATGCGACGTCACACTTAGCACGCTGTGTTTGGAGAATTAAACATGGATGATATGTGTGTATCAATTTGGAAGTTGTTGCACAATTAGGATGACTAAATGATTATATGACATGACTGTTTTGTTTGAGTCCCCTCTTCAAAAAGGGGGATCTGAGGGTGTGCTCCAATTACAGGGGCATCACTCTCCTTAGCCTTCCTGGTAAGGTCTATGCAGGCTGGGGAAGTGAGTAACATCACTGGTTGAACCTTAGATCCAGGAGGAACAATGCAGGTTGTGTCCTGGCTGTGGAACACTGGACCAGCTCTTCACCCTCACTAGGGTCCTTGAGGGGTCATGGGAGTTTGCCCATCCAGTCTACATGTGTTTTGTGGACTTGGAGAAGGTATTCGACGATGTTCCTTGGGGTACACTGTGGGGGGTGCTCCGTGAGTATGGAATTGGGGGCTCATTGCTACGAGCTGTGCAGTCCCTATACAAGTGGTATAGGGTAGTAAGTCGGACCCCTTCAGGGTGGGAGTTGGACTCCGCCAGGGCTGCCCGTTGTCATTGATTCTGTTCATAACTTTTATGGACAAAAGTTCTCAGTGTAGCCAGTGGGTGAAGGGTTTCAATTCAATTAAATTCAATTCAGTTTATTTATATAGCGCCAAATCACAACAAAGTTGTCTCAGTGCACTTTACAGAAACATTCACATACATAAAAGCCAATTAGTAAAGTTCTCTATCTAAGGAATCCAGCAGACAAGTTGAATCTTGGCTTCGTTGCAGTCTTCCACCCTGAGCAAGCACAGTGGCAACAGTGGAAAGGAAAAACTCCCTTGTAAAAGGAAGAAACCTCCAGCAGAACCAGGCTCAGGACAAGCGGCCATCTGCTTTGACCGGCTGGTTGAGAGGACAGGAAGGAGAGACAAACGAACACAGAATGGTAGGTCCAGGTGTATCTGAAAGACAAAAAAAACCACACGTTAAGGATAGAAAAAATAAAAAATTTCCAGTTCGGTGGCCTCAGGATTCCATCTCTGCTCTTTGCAGATGAAGTGGTCCTGTTGGTGTTATCGTTCCGTGATCTTCAGCTCTCAATGGAGTGGTTCGCAGCCGAGTGTGAAGCGGCTGGGATGAGAATCAGCTCCTCCAAATCTGAGGCCATGGTCCTCAACTGGTAAAGGGTAAGTTGCTCTCTTCAGGTCGAGGGCAAGGTTCTGCCTCAAGTGGAGGAGTTCAAGTATCTCAGGGTTTTGCTCGCCAGTGAGGGAAGAATGGAGCGTGAGATTGACAGAAGGATTGCGCAGAGAGGCCTTCTACATCCTGTTATATCTTCCTGACACGTCAGATCACATAAGATCCAGTGAGATCACACATAGTCACCCCACTGATACACTCTGATAGGCTGTGCTCCTGCAAGAAGGCGGAGCCTAGGCCCGATATATTTGTAAGGCAATGTGTCATCCAGCACCTTCTGGTTCTTGATCTCGCGTCGAATTGTATCGGAGACCAGCACTGTAACTGTAACCTTTTCCTGCCTTGATTTAATACATTTGGCCAACTGAATTCATGTTTCCTCGATTTATTAAGATAGAGTGAGTTACTACTTCTGAGGATGTCCGAGCCGGAAGCCCCCTGAGCTGGAGGTGGGCCTGGGGTCCGTCTGAGATAAGACCCTCCTGTTCAGTGTCAGGAGGGCTGTGATCAGTCTTACATCGGGGAAACTAAACAGCCACTGGCCAAAAGGATGGCCCAGCACAGAAGATCAACATCATCAGGCCAGGACTCTGCTGTCTTCACTCATCTCCAGGCCAGTGGTCACTTTTTCAGGGATGAAGATGTTCACATCCTGGACAGAGAGGAACGATGGTTTGAGAGAGGAGTAAAGGAGGCCATCTTTGTGAAAAGAAATCGTCCATCTTTAAACAGGGGTGGAGGCCTCCGGGTTCAACTGTCCCCCTCTTACAATGGTGTGATTGCTAGTATCACTCAGCCCTCTGTGAGTAGTAAACAGCCATCAGTGTGCTAATGATCCATTGTTAGGCTGATGGTCCTTCTTGAGCATGTGATCAGCTGGTTTTGGTTGTCAGCAGCAAAACTGGTTGATCCACCCTGAGACGGTGCTATTTAAGAGACTGAGCTGAATACAGCTCCTCAGACTGAGGAAGTCTCTCGGATGAGAGACGAAACGTTTCTATATTTTTTTGCTTTGTTTTGTTTTTTGTTTTTTTGAATGTCCAGAGGACCAGATTGAACTTTTTTGGATATCAGAAAAGTATTTAGATTTAGCAGCTTTTACTGTTTTCTGATAACTCATGAATCGCTTTATAATGTAGCTGTTTTTGTTTTGTTTTTATATAATTTCTTCTATTTACTTTGCATTTTATATGCTTTTTTATGATCGTCTATTGTTGTCTGGACCTCATCTGTGTTCTTTTTTTAAAACAGGTCTCTCTTGTAAATGAGTCTTTGAAGGTCAGTGAGACTGACCTGTATAAATAAAGGTTGAACGAATGAATGAATGAATGAAGGACCAGAAACAGAAGTTGTGTATTTCGATTCAATAAATAATGCAATATTTTAACAAATGTCACCAAATCTGCACAGACTCATCAATGAGCCTCCTTGTCATAGTCAGCGGCCCCCGCTGAACCCCATCAGCCCTTGTCTCACACTCACAGTCCCTGGTCACATGGTCCCTGATAGTGAAGCCTTCAGTCATAGCATCTTCAGAATCAGAATGCCTTTATTGTCATTATACGCAAGTACAATGAAATTAAGAGCCACTCCTTTTTTCAGTGCAAAAACATGCTTAAGAAAAACACACACTAAAAATATAAAAAATGTAACGCAATATAGATATAATAGCACTATGAAAGTAAAAAATACAAGTATTTCACAATTATATTGCACATTATGGATATTAGTGAGGTAGTTAAGGTGATTGAGAGTATGAAATGTCAGTAGTATTGCACAATAGAAGTCCAGGGGTTTGGGAGTTTAGATTATTAAATCAGTGCATATCTTGTATCCTTGTCTTGCCTTGAACCCTCGCCTGTTTTTTGACTCCTCTCGTTGCCTACCCCTCTTGGATTTGTCTGCCACTCTGGCCACGGTAACGGACCCCGTTTCCTCTACTAGACCACGCTTCATGAATTACGTTTTTGGAATTTGTATCTGGACCTCTGCCTTCCTGTTCATGACCCCTGCTCTGACAACCGGACCCCGTTATTGGATTGGCCCCTCAAACCATGTTATTGCAGCTGCTCTGCACAGGACCAGTGACATCGATGCTGCAGTCTTGACAGGTGACTCTCACTCTCCATCTGCCTGTGAAGACCGTCAACTTTGCACCCACATCCTATAATAAATAAAAACTGCACTTGTTTTTGCACTCCTGTGTCTGGCTATTTTGAATCCAAAACCCTGGTTCATGTCAGAGCAGGGGTCATGAACAGGAAGGCAGAGGTCCAGATACAAAATCCAAAAACATAATCTGTGAAACATGGTCTAGTAGAGGAAACAGGGTCCGTTAGTGATGGTAGTATGAACCAAAAGCTTCAAAACGTGCCTCGAACCCTGCAGTAAAATTACATCGAACCACTGCTTCAGAGCCTGTTTTGGTGCAGAAAAAGTCACGTGACACGTGACGTCCGAAACACAAACTGTTTCGTTGTTGGAATGAATCACTTGACTGGTTTGCCATCCAAACAGCTGATTCCCTGGCACCGCCTCGTCTCGATTCTGACAGGTGACAGGTTGAGATAGTTTTGAGTTGAGAGCTCAACACTATGAAACAGCTCTAAAATGTTTGCAATGTGTTGGAGAGTAGGTGTGTTTCTGCTGTTAGTTGAAACTGAGTAATTATGGAGGCAGCCAGGAAAAGAGGTCGTTTTAACATGTGGGAGCACTTCATTCTGCTCATGATAAGGTGGTTTTAAATGTCAAAAAAGTTAAAGTAATGTTCAGCAGTAAAGATATTATCTAACCCATTTAACCCATGTATTTAATATAATTACAGTAAAATGATGTATGTGATTTTAATAATCATATATCAGTATGGGCTCAAATTAATTTTTTTATTTACATTAGTGTATTTGTGCAGGTGCAGTGTTTGGTGTTCAACTGAGCTGAAGCATCATGATACCTCCTCCATGATTAGACACCAGTGTCAAACATGGAGATGATGGAAACGTCATTTCATTGATATTTTTAAGAATGATAAAGACTCGGACTCTTCCACAGTTACACAAGCACAATACCATTGCAACATTTTTATTAAAGCTCTTCAATGCACATTTATCAATCTTTATTCAAAAACATGTAATCATGAATACATTTTCAAACCAGACAACATAGAAAGTTGATGAATTTTTTAAAAAAAATCTGTTTTTACCCTAGTAGTTTCTTTTAACACTAGTCATTGAAGTTCTTCGGCGTGTGCCACTAAAAGCAAAATGCCTAATTTGACAGCAGCATTGCAAAATGCCACAAGAGGTCAGTGTAACTGAAGCTTCAACAAATGAACCTATTTTTTTAAACAATTGGCCCAACTGGTTCAATGCTTCATAAAAGCTTCATTTGCTCATCACTGGGGTCCGTTACCGTGGCCAGAGTGGCAGACAAATCCAAGAAGGTAGGCAACAAGAGGAGTCAAAAAACAGGCGAGGGTTCAAGGCAAGACAAGGATACAAGATACTATGACTGAAGGCTTCACTATCAGGGACCATGAGTGGTGTAATAATTCTGCAAAGGACAAGTGAAAGTGGAACTCTTTAAATAAGGCAAAGAACAGGTGCAGTGAATCAGAGCTGATGAGCTGAAAGTGCAGAGGGGGTGTGGCTAATGACAGAAGAAAAACAGCATGATGACAAAGAGGAGCAGAAACATGACATGATGGGACTGTGAGTGTGAGACCAGGGCTGATGGGGGGGTCAGCGGCCCCCGCTGACTATGACACTCCTGGTGTGTTTTAAAATCAGTGTTTGTTTTGTGTGATTGCTTCACCTTTTTTTTAGCTCGTAATGGCAATCTCAGACTCCTACTATAATGATATGTGGGCCAAGTTCAGTACGATAAACCAGAGATAATATTAGATAATCCTTTCTCAAATAGTCTCCGGCTGTCAACCGCCTGCAGAAGATCAGAGGCTTTACTTTCAGTCCATGACCTCTAATCTTAGATTGGTTAATCTATTAAAGGGGAAGAAAGACACCCACATATGGTGTCCACAATACTGATCAATAGAGTTAGATGTGATTTTAATATTTTCATTTTATAAAATGAAAACGATATTACTATACCCTCTGTCCAACCTCTTGCTATGTTGACTAAGGTTTCTTGAACACGGTAGAAGCCAGACATAAAACCAAAATTCCAATTATAGGTAAGGTAAAAATCAAACATCCCAAAAATCTCTGAGTTAACCGCGGCCACTAGGACTGTGTGTTACCTTGTAAATGGATCATAGTGTCAGTGAAGCACTTAAGCCTCCTGAGTGGATGAGAAGAGGTCGTAAGTTTGGTCTGATTCCAGGTCAGGCAGGGAGAGGAGATGTAAGCTGAGAGCTCTCAGATCCCTCTGCAGGTTTCAGTTCACGGAGGATTTCTAACACTCTGTATCTGTCTCAGAGGGACTATCACTTATGAATGCAAGAAATTAAAACAAACATTTTCACCTGACAAGATAAAATGGATGGATGGACTGCTGGAAAATGGCATGGGTTGAAGTGATAAAATAGCTAGAAAGAGAGTTGGTAAAACATAATAATAAAGGATTCAATGTTCTTTATTTGTCATTTGCACCACATGTGGTGGAACGAAATGGTGTACACAGGGTCCCAGTCACATCCAACAAAAGTATAAAATGTAAAAGAAGAAGAAGGTGCAAGGTGTTCCAGGATACAGGAGTGGAGTAAGAGAAGGCCCTTTTGCCAAATTCAGTCCGCACTGAGGGAACACTGCAGGTAATTATATCTTGGGAGTGCACGCTGTGACTGCACTGATGAAGTGACATGTAGGAGGAGATGCATGAAGGCAGTAGACCAAGAAGTGATTTAAAGATGAAAATGTCCCAGTGAGAGAGTCTGCTAAAAGACGTAAGATAAAAGACATGTAAGAGCAAAAGACACTGGTTTGCTTATTATACTGTATGAGAAGAAAAATGACCAAGACCTCAGAAACTATGAGGTCATGGTTCTCAATCGGAAAAGGGGGGATTGCTCTCTGTGGGTTGGGAGTGAGATGTGGTGAGAAAAGAACAAAACCACAGATACAGGTGGTTGAAATGAGTTTCCTTCGCAGGGTAGCTGGACTCTCCCTTAGAGATAGGGTGAGAAGTTTAGATATCTGGGAGAGACTCGGAGTAGAACCGCTGCTCCTCCACATCGAGAGAGCCATTTGAGGTGGTTCGGGTAAGGATGCTCTCCGGGCACCTCCCTAGGGAGGTGCGTTGGGCATGTCAGACTGGGAGGAGACCCCAGGGAAGAACCAGGTCACACTGGAGAGACTACGTCTCTCGGTTGGCCTGGGAACACCTTGGGGTCCTCCCAGAAGATATGGAAGAGGTGGCTGTGGAAAGAGATGTCTGGACCTCCCTGCTCAAGTTGCTGCCTCAGTGACCTGACTTCAGAACAAGCGGAAGATGATGGATGGATGGATGGATGGATGGATGGATGGAGAGAAATGCTGTTTTAGCAGTTTCCATCCACTCATAATTGTCATTAATTTGGGACGTTTAAGGATTTGTTTGAATTTTTTTTCCACTCTCAAAAAAAAGGATTGTTCAAATAAATCTTTAAAAGCCTTAAATTATTTGCATTCATGCCCAAGACAAATGAATGTCAACTTCTGACAGCAACTAGGGAGCAG